CTAATGTCAGATATGAATCATGGTATCAATAGAGCTGTTAAACCTCCCCAGCCTCATTGTGGACTTCATAATTGGAAGAAACAAACGGAAACCAAGATTAAGTTTCAGATCATGGCTGCCTTTCTCCCTGTCTCCATCCTTTACGAAAGGGAAGCAGTGCTTTGCCTGTAGAAGCGCTACTGCTAAAAATGAAACTACTACTCGCAGTAATACTTCCTATTATAATGAAGATTTTCACATTGTGGAGGAAAAAGTTTGCTAGGGCCTAAACTTTAGTTGGCTCGGGCCTGAACTTTGGTTCAGACCTGAACATTAGTGAAGTCTATTGTAGGTGAAGGGTTTTTAGAGGCAGAAGAGAGGAAAAGTACAAAAGCAGAACTATCTATAATTACAAGGCCTATGATTCATAATGGCCCATTAACAGTTTTGGGGAAGCTTAGAAACTGCAGCAGGATAGACTGTGAAAAACAGGAAAGCTTGCTAAGCTATATTCCTTTTATGGAGAGTGTCTTCCAAATATGGCAATAATGCTGATAAGGAAGTATGCATTACATAATTGTGGTTTTATGCCATATAAGCTGTGCAAAATTCTGTAATCGGGGGGATTGCTAGTTCACTGGTACCCCCCCGTGCATGCATGAAAATAAAGAGGCCTCAGGCGATTCTGATCCAAACACAACGCGTGGTCATTTTTCCACCACAACTGTGAAATATGAACTTAAATGTCTCCACATTCTTTCCTGCCAAACGTGAATTGTTCTGGCATGGTCTCTTAGAGAATTCAAACTCAACTACAGAGAACGCTGAGGCCCCATCTACACTGAAAACTCCTATCAGCAAAGCTATGTGAAAGCAGTTATCCTGACCTAACTCCCTGTGTAGACAGTGCTGGGTCTACAGAATTCTTCCCTAGACCTAGCTACCGCCTCCAGGGGAGGTGGATTACCTACAGCGATGGGAGAACCCCCTCCCGTCACTGTATCGAGCGCCTACACTGAAGCACTGCACTGGCGCACTGGTATCCCTCCGCTATACTGATGTACTGTTTTAAGTGTACTAGTGGGGAGAGGAGTGGGGAGAGGAGGTTAAAGAATTTTTAGGAGGTTTAAGTGTACTAGTGGGGAGAGGAGGTTAAAGAATTTTTGTCACGCAATAAGAATGTTCTTTAGATCTATTATTGTGCTTGGATATCTCTTACTCTGCCATATCCATTACTCATTTAGACCAACAAGTGCAGTAGTGGTCAGTGATCTAGGGGGTCTCATTCTTTCGGGGCTCAAGCAGAGGTGACTTGGACTTCATTCCCAAAAGTGGTGACTACACTCAGCTGTGTATTGAGCTCCCCACATATTTTCTACCTTTTTTTGAAAACTAGAAACAGGATGCTCCGCCATTTTTGAAATGAGAATAATGTAGAGCAAGTTGAAAATTTGTCACTTTAATATATTTTGTATTTTTCATGAAAAAAGATTTCTTTTAATATGAACATTTTAATGGAAAAAGTTTCTTCCATTTTCTCTGATTTTTCAATGAAAATAATAAAAACCAGAAGAAGTTTTGAATTTTGTCATTTCATTCCCCACGGTCCAATTTCCAAATAGAGTTGAAATGCTGTTTTTCTTTGAAATTTACACATTTAAAATTTTTCAAAGAGTTCCAGAAAAGAAGGAAAAAAAGGGGAAGTAAATGAAAAAAAAATGCAAACCTTTTTCATTCCTGTTTTTGTTAAAAAAAGTATTAATTAGTTTTCTGGGGAAAAAATGACATTTTTTTTTAAATTCATTACAAAAAATGTTGATCATCTCTAATTCTTATCTTGAGGGATCAGAGTCATCAAAGGAAGATTCCATAGTCCAAATTCTGGAGGTTAAACTCACCCCTGTGAAGCAGGGATAGGGGGGCTGTTTCCTTTCGCAGAACTCTCTGGGGCCATGTCTACAATACAGACTTCTGCTGGCATAGCTCCATCTCTATGGGATGTAAAAAAGTTCACGTCAGTATGTGGATCCTCTACCCTAGCGCCGATGCAGGCACAGGCTCTGTAGTGTAGACATGGCCTCATTTCCCTTTCAGAGGAGAACAGGCGATACCAGCAAAAGCACACTAGTATACTGGTAGAACTGCACTGGCAAAGCGCTCCTAGTGTAGAACTGGCTGGTAACACTATTGCCATTGTGAGGAATCAACAAGCTTGAAATGATATTGGAGAAGGCGTTTCTTGATCCTGCTCTATTTCCTTACAGGCGGTTGCGCGTTCAGTTGGAGGTCTTGTAGGGGTGAGTACTCAAAATTACTTTGCTGTCCAACTGTTTAATATAATCATTCCAGAGGACATGCTTCCATGCTGATGACTGGTTCTGTTTGATAATAATCCAAAGCAACGTGTGCACTGACACACGTTCATTTTCATCACCTGAATCAGATTCACCAACAGAAGGTTGATTTTCTTTTTGAGTGTTTTGGGTTCTGTAGTTTTCACATCTGAGTGTTGTTCTTTTAAGACTTCTAAGAACATGTTCCACACAAATATGCCGTTAGTCTTCTTTTCAACAAGGACACATTGCTGACTCATATCCAGCTTCTCCTCCAATGTAATCCCCGGGTCCTTTTCTCCAGACCTACTGCTTAGCCAGTCGTTCCCCAGGATGTAGCAGTCCATGGGATTCTTTCGTCCTCAGTGCAGGACTCTGCACTTGTCCTTGTTGAACCTCATCAGATTTCTTTTGGCACAATCCTCCAATTTGTCTAGGTCACTCTGGACCTTATCCCTACCCTCCAGCGTATCTACCGCTTCCGCCAGTTTAGTGTCATCTGTGAACTTGCTGAGGGTGCAATCCAGCACATCATCCAGATCATTAATAAAGACGTTGAACAAAACCAGCCCCAGGACCAACCCCGGGGGCACTCCGCTTGATACCGGCTGCTAACTGAGCCGTTGATCACTACCCTGGAGCCCGACATCCTAGCCAGCTTTCTATCCACCTTACAGTCCATTCATCCAATTCATACCTTTTGAACTTGCTGGCAAGAATACTGTGAGAGACCATATCAAAAGCTTTGCTAAAGTCAAGATATATCACGTCCACTGTTTTCCTCATATCCACAGAGCCAGTTATCATCTATCAGGTTGGTCAGGCATGATTACTGTAACTGTAGTTATACCAGGAAAACTGTGCTCTTGGTGGTATTGCTGGGCCTGGTGTACACTTCAATGTTCTGCCAACATCGCTATATCAGCTAGCAGTGTGAAAAACACTATGCTGAAAAATCCCCAGCATAGAGGCAACTATACTGGCACAAGAGTGAGTCTCTCAGCTTACTGAACGTCAAGCGGGGAGGTGGTGTTATGATGTTGGAACAAGTCCTTAAGTCATCATATGCAGCCTGTACTCTAGGGGCTATGCAGGCATATGCTCTGTAGTGTAGATATGGCCTCATTTCAGAGGAGAATATGCTATACCAGGAAAAGCACACTAGCGTACTGGTAGAACTGTACTGACAAAGCGCTTCTAGTGTAGAATTGGCTGGTAACAATCCTGCCACTGTGAGGAATCAACTACATAAAGTGATATTGGAGAAGGGAGTTTCTTGATCCTGCTCTATATCCTTACAGGAGGTTGTGCGTCCAGTTGGAGGTCTTCATCGGGTGAGTACTCAACATTACTTTGCTGTCCACCTGTTTTATATAATCATTCATGAGGACATGCTTCCACGCTGATGACTGGTTCTGCTCGATAATGATCCAAAGCGGTGCGGAATGATGCACATTCATTTTCATCATCTGGGGCAGATGCTACCAACAGAAGGTTGATTTTCTTTTTGGGTGGTTCGCTTTCTGTAGTTTTCGCATTGTATTGTTGCTCTTTTAAGATTTCTGACAACATATTCCACATCTCATTCCTCTCAGATTTTGGAAGGCACTTCAGATTTTTAAACCTTGGGTTGAGTGTTGTAGCTATCTTTAGAAATCTCACCTTCTTTGTGTTTTGTCAAATTTGTCAAAGCGCTGCTAGTGTAGAACTGGCTGGTAAAGCTGTTGCCATTGTGAGGAATCAGCTACATTGAAGTGATTTTGGAGAAGGGCGTTTCTTGATCCTATCATAACTATTTCCTTCCAGGAGGTCGTGCGCCCAGTTGGACGTCTTCTTAATGTGAGTACTCAAAATTATTTTGCAGTCCAGCTGTTTTATATGATTTCAGTACCTCTTAGTAAGCCTGAACTCTGAGCCCAGTGTTTAGCTGGAATAGCCTAGACACACGTGGAAAGAGTGAGGCAAAACACAAAGCTATGGGCTTCCAAGTCCCACAGGGGAGTCTAAAAGTTAATCCGAGTTTTCTTTGCAATTTCAATTCTTCCATTATACAAGTAGTCTATTTATTGCGTTTCTGTGGTCTCTCTTCATTATGACCAGGTCCCAGATTTAGTCATACATATTGTGAGCTGTGATTCACTGGAAATCCTGTGAATCTGCATACTTGAGACTGGGGATAATAGTATCTCCACAGGCAATCACATACGTGGCCTCATCTATACAAGGGAGCAGATTCCCAGATGATGTAAATTGGTGTTGCCCCAATAAAATAAGTGGGGACAGATCAACAACTGGTGTCACTCATCTATAGCTCGATGAACGTTAGTGGGGCCAAATACCCAAATGATGGAAATCAGTCTTAGCTCCAATAAAGTGAGTGAGGCTAGATCCCCAGTTGTCAATGGGCCAGATTCCAAATGGGTGTAAATCCACATCTCTGTATTGGAGATGCACCAGAGTAAACTGATGAAGCTCCACTGGAGTTAGAGCAGTGGTTCGCAGCATCAGTGGTGCTGTGCCTGTGAGTACTGCAAATTCACTTTGCTTTACGAGTCTGCTACATTACCCTGATAATTTTAACAGAGGCCAGGTTAAGTGATGGAAGCCCATTCCCTTAACGGGTAGCAACTGGCACTCCTAGTTTCTCTCATGATGGTAAATCAGACCAATAATATGGTTCCTATTGTGACGGGATCCCCAGGGTGCAGCCTGGGACTGGGGGACTGCTGTGCTCCCTCAACTCTCTCCAGCCTGGGCTGTCTCTCACAATGCCTTGCTAGTGACCAGCAGCAAACCCTTCCAGGTGCTGTTATCACTCAGCACAACCACATGTGGAGCCCCACACTCAGCTAGATTGCATGAATGCTTCCAGAGCCGCTCATAAATCACACAGAGAAGGCACCAGCCAAATTCCCCCAGCTCCCAGCTCTGTACCTCAGGAATATACCATCTTGCACTGCTCAAGACACTGTCCCTGAACTGTTCACCTTTGGGCAAAGAGGAAAGCGCAGACATGTACAATCATATTTCTGAGAGAAAATAGTCATTATAATATAGAATATGTTACTCCTACCATTACTTTCATTGTTACCAGCAGCATTTGTACGGGCCCAAGATGAGCAGTGCAAATGTATTGATTGTTTCACCACTTCATCAATGGAAAGTGGATATACACCAGTCTTTGCCAACCTGAGCAGTTTTGCTGCACAATTCATACAAATTCACTGGTAAAGATGAATAGTTAAACAAATGTTTTGACTACAAAAGGTAGATTTTAAGTGATAGGCGAAAAGTCAGAGTTAATTACCAAAATAACTAACATCTAACGCCGTTGCTTCAACTTAAAACCCTATTAGCTTGCCCT